AAGATGTGACAAGAACATTATTCACTCATTTTTGTCATAATCACCATCACGCTCTCTTTCTATCTTTCTGCGACATTAACCGAATTGTTAATTTGCTAATTGCCTTATAATTGTCTGATACAATAGCTATAGGGCAATTATTTTATTTATATCCAAGGTCTAATGTAAAAATACTCTGGAGTTTTGGAAACCATGTAAGTTTTTAAACCTCTCGTCTGTTGTTAGAAATATAATTAAAAGGAAAAAAACAATTTTTGGGAAAAATGAAATTTATTTGTTTAAATTTTCCGATAGCAAAGTAAACCACTTCGTGAAAGGAATAATAAGTATTTATAGACGACTTTCTGGAATTTATCTCATAAGTAAGAAATTTCAAAATATGTCCTAAAAGATCTGTGATTTCAGGTAGGATCTGTTTAGGATCTGTCAATATTCCGAGGGTCAAATCACCCAAAACCTTTAGTGACTAAATTTATTCTATTATACGGCGTAAATATTCACCTCGAGAAAACAAGATTTGGATTTCTGCTAAAAATCGAATTTCTTCTCAGAAATTGCTGCGTCCCAAACTATCCTGTAAAAACAATATCTCATAAACATCCACACACTTCCCATTAATATGGCCATTCATATTTTAATGATTTCTAATTTGGATAATCACACCACGTTCACATCGTATTGGCCCGGACGCAATTATATTTCCCAAAACTGTCTAGTCTATTTTTAATTGCTTAATTATAGATTAAATTGAGATTTGATTAATATGTAGGAAATAACACCTCCCCACCCGCTTTTTCGAAATCATAAAGAATTATTCTCCCCCTCCGTTTTGAATATTCTGCTCCAAATTGTGTGACGTCAATTAATTTTAATTTTTATGATTATTTAACGTGAAACAATTGTGTCTTGTGTTGCATACAAAATTTCCCAAGCAAATTCCAGTCGCAAGCACAGAAGCAGTCTATGTATGTGTGTGTACGAGTAGCAACAATGCAGCCGCAACTAATCAAGATGCTTAATGCATAAATTTCATGAAGCAACAGCAACACTCATTTTACATACTGCCCACACACATACTACTTTAAGAGAATGTAGTTATGTCAGTGCGTGTTTGTGTGTGTGTGTTTCATCTTATCTATTATCATTGGTGACGGACGACGTCTGTTAAAAGATTCATTAGCAATTGTCTGCGTATATCGAATAGAATATTTAATTTTTCCGATCGAAAATTTAGAATGGTAACAATGACGATTCAAAAGTGGGGAGAGAGAGAGAGAGAGTATGGAAGATGATGAAGACACAAACTAAAAATAAGTTCTCTGACACTAGTTTATGCAAATATATATTATGCTAACAAGGAAAGGCGATTAAAATAGATGACGAGGAAGGCATGTGGCATCACTTCATTATTAATAAGATGGTAGTTATGATCTATGAAGAGATTATAGAAAAGAAAATGAATGAAATTAAAAAATATATATATATTTTTTTACGGGCCAGCAAAAGGGACCTTCAGAAAACCTTGTTTTTTTCGATTAGCCTGGATTTTAAAAATAATAAAAATAATAATAAAATATTTTTTTTTAAATTATTTTCTAGGGGTCCATCAATAAGCGTGGATTTTTTTAAATATGTTCTGAAGGAAAATACAAATAAGCGTCGATTTTTCAAAAATTATTTTCAAAGGACTAAAAATATGCGTGTTTTAAAATATTAATTGTCTAAAAATTGTTCCCAAAGCATTATCAACAAGTGTGGTTTATTCCAAAAAAATCCAAAGGTTAATCAATAAGCATGGATGTTTAAAAATTCTAAGGAATACCAATACTTGTGGATTAAAAAAGAAATTACTACCAATAACTGTGGATTATTTAAATGTTTTCCTAAAGGACTATCAATATGTGTGGATTTTTGAGGCTATGTGTCTATTGGGTGGCGTAGGGGTTGATATATACCAAGCAACCGCTCTGATTGGCTTTAACATGGCGAAGTCCAGGCTTATCTTGGTCCCTCTTTCATCTCAATTGTGGACACTGACCTACCCGCGGTGCCACCTGGGGAGCTATTTTCATCACCCGATGAAATAGTGAGCTAATATGTGCCGCGAGTTCACCCATAAGAACTATAAAAAAATGGATTGAGGCGTCGGGTTAGTTGCCCACTGCCGGAAAACACAACCCACTATAAAAAAGCAAAGAAAAAGAAAACCAAACCCCCTAATGTTGACGAACCCCGCAAACGTATAAAGGACCACGATCTGCGAATCTGCACTTGGAATGTGCGCACGTTGTACAGAACAGGCGCAGTGTTCGCTTTGGCCGATGGACACAAGAAGTACAAAGCCGATATTATTGCTGCGATGGAAAGGGACAGGCGTAAGTAACTCAGACGATTACGCCCTGTATTATAACTGCCATGAAAGGAGACATGAGTTGGCTGGTTAACAGGAGAATAAAAGACCTTGTCTCCAGATTCACTCCAGTAGATGAGCGAATTGCTATAATCCGTTTAAAAAGCGAAGTTCTTCTACATCAGTCTCATTTGCGCCCAGGCTCCGACCGAACATAAAGATGAACAGACCAAAGACATATTTTACGAGCGCCTAGAAACAGCATATGACCATTGCCCTGGTCATGACATTAAAATTCTGCTAGGAGATTTTAATTCATAAATCGGAAGGGAAAATATCTTTGGCCCCACAGTCGGAAAATTCAGACTTCATGAAGAAACATCCGACAACGGCATGAGGTTGATTGACTTCACGGCAGCAAAAAACATGGTAGTTAGCAGCACCAGATTCAAGTATCTCGATATACACAAGGCCACCTGGATCTCTCCTGATCAAGTAACGAGAAATCAAATTGATCATGTTGTGATAGACGGAAGGCATTCATCCAGTGTTTTAAACGTCCGATCGATCCGAGGACCGAATACCGATTCGGACCATTACCTTGTAACAGCCAAGGTACGCACCCGTCTTAATGTAGCAGCAAAGGTGCGATCTAACACAAAATGGCAAAGAATTGCCCACTCCCTACAAAGCAACACTTGGGTACCAAAAACCACAACCAAGGAACACATGGTACCAATGCGGCTTCAGACCTGGCAAATCCACCATTGACCCGATTTTCCCTCTGCGCCAAATCCTTGGAAACACCCACGAAAAACACATCGACACATTCCACCTATTTGTCGACTATAAAGCCGCATTTGACAGCCCTATCCGTTCAGAGGTGTTTAAAGCAATGTCTACGTTCGGCATTCCTGCAAAATTAATACGGCTATGCAGGATAATTTTAAGTGGCACAAGATCAGCAGTCAAAGTAGGAAAGGACCTATCGGAGCCCTTCAATAACGAACGAGGATTCAGACAAGGTGACAGTTTGTCGTGTGATCTTTTTAACATCCTACTGAAAAAGGTCATACGAGACGCAAAGTTGAAAGGGTCGAACATTGCGAGCGGTAACAGCCACCTTTGAACAAACTGAAAAGGAGTCTGCCAAGGTGGGTCCGGCAGTAAACGGCGAGAAGACCAAGCTGATGGTATCAACGCGCAAGACGTCCGGTAGACTCGGACCAACTGTGAAACTTGAGAACTACAGCTTCGAGGTAGTTAAAGACTTTATATACCTTGGTACCACCATAAATAAAACAAATTACATCAGTTTTGAAATTCGGAGAAGGATTGTGATGGCCAACCGATGCTACTATGGTCTGAGCAAACAACTCAAAAGCAAGGCCACCTCCCGCCAGATCAAACTCACACTTTACAAGACGCTGATACTACCCGTGCTATTATATGGATCAGAAGCATGGGTACTTGCCCAAGCAGATGAGGCAGCTCTTGGGATGTTTGAAAGAAAAATTCTCCGAAAGATCTACGGACCGATCTGCGTCGACGGTGAATATCGGCATCGAATGAACCACGAGCTCTACAATTTATACGCGGACATCGACATAGTCGTATTGAGTTGCAGCGACTACGGTGGCTAGGCCATGTTGTGCGGATGAATGAGAATGCCCCAGCTCAAAAGGCATATAAAAACGAGCCTACTGATGGTTCCCGTAGAAGGGGAATGCCACGAATTAGATGGAAACCCCAAGTAGAAAACAACATCTTGGAACGTGGTCTTCCAAATTGGTGGATTTGCGCACAAGACCGACGCGCTTGAAAATCTTTCTTTAAGCTCGGCTTATGGAACAACCGTTCTGTAACAAGCCAGCTGAGTAAGTAAGTGTCTATCAAAAATATTTTCTAACGAACTATCCACAAGCGTGAATTTTTCAAAACAATTATTTCCCAAAATTTCTCTCCGACTTTTTGTAAATGTGGATTTGTTAATTCTTTTATAAATAATTTTCTAAAGTACTATATATGAACGAGTGGTACGAAATGTGTAATCAGTGATGATCGAAATCGAACGGATTATTGATCATATTTTAGCATAATTCGCCAGACATATATATTAATTTTATAATTTAGTAAAACACATTTAAATGACATATATCTATGGACATATTCCAGTTCAATAACATTTTGTGTGTTAGTATTATTATTGCTTTGTTGTAAATAAGCTTCTGGTTTTAGCTATGACAACGCTTATGATAATAATGAGAGATAGCTGAACTTGATATCCACAACCAGGCGACTAAATTAATTACGACTGATACGTGCTTAGCGTATTTTACTATCGCTGACAATTCCAAAAATCATACGCCAAGTAAACGTTTAGGGAATTTCAAAACAGTTCCACCAACTATAAACACGGCAAAATTGGCCTGCTGACAACAAGAACAATTGTAGGTATTTTTTTTTTTTTTTTGGAAAGCATATGAGAATATTCATCGGTTGATATTAATGTGGTTTAATACCTCACTCAAAACTCAAGGATGTTTTTTGTTTTGTTCTATTTTAATTTATGTTTATTGCTCATATTCTAAAACAAAATTTCGGTATAAAAGCATTGTGCCAAAATTGGGATGGCATCAGATTTCTTTTAGAACTTCTAACATCACAACGCATTCAAAATGTTCAAATTGTTCGCTGTTTGCTTCTTGGCTTTGTTTGCCGTCGCTTTTGGTGCTGCTAAACCCGCCTGGTTGGCTGCTGCTCCCGTTGCCTATACAGCTCCTGCTGTGGCTTATACCGGTGCTGTTCCTGCTGTCGCTGCTGCTTACACTGCTGGCTATGTGGCTCCCTATGCTAGCACCTACAATGCCCACACTGTCGCCCACACAGCTGCCTTCCCTGCCGCCTATGCTGCTGCACCTGTTGTAGCTGCTACCCCAGCCGCTTATGCTGCCGCTCCCGTTGTTACCGTCTTCAAGAAGTAAATTTCATGTGATCGGATTTGAATTTGGAATGAAATGAAATGTTAATTTGGAATCTCAAAATGAAACGAAAATAAAATATCTACAACTTTACTAAAGCTCAAACATTTCCTGGTTTTATTTTTCTCGCACAAAATAATGTTTAAAAATCCACTATTATTGAAAGTGCTCGAAAAAATAATTTAAACAAATCCAAGCTTGTTAATTTGAATCTGCCCTAATTCTAGAATGTCCCTACAAAATTACAAGTGAAAATCTCAAGAACTCTTGAAGATATAGCCGATTTATTGTGTCAGCATCAAGTGACGGCAAGAGTGATTCTCAAACTTTAAACTCATTTTTCTCGAAGCAGTGTTTTACGATAACTCAAAAACTAATAATCCAATCGGTTCAAAATTTTGACACGTTTCTCTGTAAATCTTCAAATATATATGTGAAAAGTTACAAAACTTAACAAGCATTGATATTCATTTACCAGCCCACTTAAAATCTTAAAAATAAAAAAAAATCGAGAATGGGAGTGGCGGGTTCCCTTAATAGACCACGCGAAAATAATTTTTAACCATTAAGGAAAGTAGTAAAGTCGGACTGGGCCGACTATATAATACCCTTCACCACTTTGGGTATATTCTACATATGTATCCTAACAGACGCCGCGTGTTTGTTATATATCTATATCTGAACCGATTTCAGGGAAACTTGCCAGAGACAAATTTATAATACATCAGTGCGTTGTGTCAATGGGCCTAGCTATGAATCTCTTCACGAAGCTCAGCAACATCATTCTAGACTTAATTCAGTACCATCAGTACCATATACCAAAATTCGCGCAAATCGAAAGATATATAGGGACTTTGGTGCACCAATTACTTAAAATCGGACGAAAATATATATGAAAGCCATATCTAAATCTGAACCGATTTGTCACGAAACTTAGCACACGTCATTATAGACTTAATTCAATACGCTATGACAAATTTCGTGCAAATCGAAAGATTTTCAGAGACTTTGGTGCACCAATTACCACAGTGTGGTAAAGGGTACAACCACAGTGTGGTAAAGGGTATAAAAATTTGCAAATATTGATAGTTCTCGAAAATACCCTGTACCACAGTGTGGTGAAGGGTATAAAAATTTGCAATTATTGATAGTTCTCGATTTTTTTTTAAATCCGCGCTCTCGAAAAAGTATTTTTATAACCTACACAATTATGTTGTCAGGGTATTATAGCGTTGTGCAGCCCCAAGAGTTTGCAACGCCGCGAAATATTGGTCCTAGACCCACCTTTAAGTATACCGATCGTCATATCTCGACTAGCTGAGTCGATCCACACATGTGTGTCCGTCCGTCTGTCCATTATAATTTGTAAACACGATACAGGCCACAGTTATGGACAATCTTCACGAAATGTAAGATGTAGAATGGGTTCTGGGCAATGGAGACCCCTATTATTTTTGGTAGAGATCGGATAATATTTAGGGGATGAAATGGACCAAATACTTAATTTTTGTCGGTTTTTCTGGTCTCTCCAGAGGCCGCAATTATGTTCCGAACATCGCGAAATTTTACATGGAGAAGAGGATTGGGCCAAGGAATATGCATGCCTGCTTTAATAATGATCGGTCATTATTTAGCGGGTCAAATGGACCCTGACTTTTGTGTGAAAAATGACAACATTTGTATTCTATGGCGTATACATTTACTCCAGAAGTATATAGACCTGAGTAGTTGATAGGGTATCCAAGATATCAAATATAGTAATGTAGCTACTCGGATGTGGAAGTTACACTCAACTATTTACAGGTGCTTACGTTAGATTTTAGTTAGTAACCCATTACCACATTAGAGGGCGGAAATATAGCACTGATCGCTTTAAATTTTCCATGAGGTTTCAATTATGGTCAAGGACAACGCCTATGCTTTTCGGTGATGATCAAATAACAATTTCGGGATGAAGTGGGCCGATAACTTTTGTTGTGTTTTTTTACGAGTCGATCTATAGGCCACAATTATAAACCGAACATCACAACACCACCCACGGTGAAAGGAACGTGGACAAGTAATTAGAGGGGCGGCTGCTTTTTGATAGTCTTCAAAAAAATTAATTTTTAAAATTCCAAACTATTGATAGTCCCCTTAATTGTTATACCCTTCACCACACAGGGTATTATGTCTTTGTGCATATGTTTGTAACAGGCAAGAGGAATCGAGATAGACCCATAGTTACTTTTGAGAATATGCATAGAATCACTTTCTGAGTCGATTTACGCATGTCCGTCTGTCCGCCCGTCCGTCTGTCCGTCCGTCCATGTATTTTTGTGAACAAAGTACAGGTCGCATTTATGATCCGATTTGGATGAAATTTGGCACATTTCACTTATTTGGCCCAGGGAGGAACCCTATATAATTGAGAAAAATTGGTTCAGATTTAGATATAGCTCCCATATATATTTTCGTCCGATTTAAGGCAAATGCACGAAATTTGGCACAGCGTAATGAATTAAGCCTAGAATAATGTCTGCCAAGTTTCGTAAAAATCGGTCCAGATTTAGATATAGCTCCCATATATAGTTTCGTCCGATTTTATGTAAATGGTGCACCAAAGTCCCTATATATCTTTCGATTTGCACGAAACTTGGCATAACGTACTGAATTGAGCCTAGTGTGATGTCTACTAAATTTCCTGAAAATCGGTCCAGATTTAGATATAGCTCCCATATATATTTTCGTCCGATTTTATGTAAATGGTGCACCAAAGTCCCTATATATCGTTCGATTTGCACGAAATTTGCCACAGCGCAATGAATTATGCCTAGAATGATGTCTGCCAAGTTTCCTGAAAATCGGTCCAGATTTAGATATAGCTCCCATATATATTTTGGTCCGATTTTATGTAATTGGTGCACCAAAGTTCATATATATCTTTCGATTTGCAAGAAATTTGGCAAAACGTACTGAATTGAGCTTAGAGTGATGTCTGCCAAGTTTCGTGAAAATCGGTCCAGATTTAGATATAGCTCCCATATATAGTTTCGTCCGATTTTATGTAAGTGATGCACCAAAGTCCCTATATATATTTCGATTTGCACGAAATTTGGCATAACGTACTTAATAGAGCGTAAAGTGCTTTATGCCAAGTTTCCTGGAATGATGTGTGCTGAGTTTCGTGAAAATCGGTTCAGATTAAGATATATATATATATATATATATTTCCGTCAGATTTAATGTAAATAATGTACCAAAGTTCTAATATTGCATAGATCGATTGATTTTAAGTAATTGACACACCAAGGAACCAATATATGATTGAAAGAACAAAACGTACTGAAATTAGTATAAACCAACCTGTGAAAAGTTTCGTTGAAATCGGTTCAAATTTGGATATAGATTCCACATATATTTTCATCCGATTTAAGGTAATTGGTGCTTTTAAGACCCTATATATCTTTGCACGAAATTTTGCATAGCGTGCTGAATTGCGTCTATAATAATGTGTGTCAAGTTTCATGAAAATCGGTTCAGATGTATATAAAGCTCCCATATATATATATATATATATATATATAGTCGCCCGATTTTAGGTAAATGGTGCACCAAAGTCTTTGAAAATCATTCCATTTGCACGAAATTTGTCATAGCGTACTGAAATAAGTTTAGAATGACGTGAGCTAAATTTCGTGAAAATCGGTTCAGATTTAAATGTAGCTCCCATATATATTTTCGTCCGGTTTTATGTAATTGGTGCATCGATAGGATACATCTGTTGAATATACCCAAAGTGGTGAAGGGTATCATATAGTCGGCCCAGTCCGTCTTTACTACTTTCCTTACTGGTTTTGTTGTGAATCCAAGCTTTTAAGGATATCAATTTTAAAAAATTCTAATTGGAAAATATTTTTTTTGTATTTAAAATTCCTATTTATACCTCGGTTGTTAAAATTCCTAATTTTAAAAATAGAAGAAATTACAAAACAATTTTGTTGCCATTTTGATTCCGAAAATAAGCTTTTGTTTATTGACTTTTCACTTTTTTGTCCATTTTTATTTAAAATACAAAAACTCAAAAGAAATGAGTTCTTAAAGAAATGATAAAAAATTACACGGCAACCAATTACACAATAATATTATTCATAAATCCTTTTCTCATGATCCTTTGGGGTACACCATTGTCGTTGCGAGATTATTTTGCACGTTTTTAGGATTAACCTTAACGAAGGAAAGCGGTAGCATAAGGATAAGCGCTATAAGCTGAGGCATATGGGTAGGCAGAGTAGGCAGCAGCAGCATAGGGAGCGGTGTAGGCAGCTGTGTATGGGGCAGCATAGGCAGCGGTATAGGGAGCAGCAACATAAGGAGCAGAGTAAGCCAAGGGAGCGGCAACAATGGCGGGCTTAGCCATGGCACAGGCAAGGACGGCGAACAAGCAAATGGCGAACTGTAGTTATGTAAAAAATTTAGAAAATTAACATAATTAAGAAGATCGAAAAAAAACTTTAATTTCACTTACGAATTTGAACATTTTGTTTGATTTTCTTAAGAAGTTCTTTAGAAACTGATGAAGAACCCTTGAGAGTAGCATAGCTTTTATAGTAAAACTATTTCGTTTGCTAAACTATAAAATGCAATAACAATTGTTTGTTTCTTCTGTACATCGTCGTTTTTCTTGGCAATTCTAGTAGGCTCCATTTGACCATGTGGTGTACATATTTTTGTTCAGAATATTTCGATAAACAGGTGCCAAAAAATAAATAAAATAAAAATAATAATATCTTTCGTAAATAAAATATTTTAAATTCATGACATGTTTTGAAATGGTATCATGAGTAGGTTTTATGATTATTATTTTGAAATCATTGCGAATTGCTGGCAATTAGCCGTATAAATTATATAATTTATGCAAACAGTCGAATCAAGTCTAGTGTTTGGTCTACTTAAGAAATATACATTTTGGCATAATTTTTTTATTTAAAATTTGAGATTAGTTAGTTAGTTTAAAAAGAGGGGTGGTTTACACCACCAAATGTCCACTGTGACATTACATACACTTAAGCCATAGGAGGCCTGTTGTGCGCTCTAGGAAGGAAAGGTATTTAGATTGAATTATTCTTAATTTTTTTTATATCCCTATTCTTTTAGGAATTCTGTGTTCTTGCTGAAGTCCTTTAGTATTTTCCATTCACACCCCCTTAGGTCATTTAGTTCAGGAATAGTGTCGATCTTCATGAATTGTGTTCTAATGCATGCAAAAGCTGGGCAGTGGCAAAGGAAATGTTCCAACGTTTCGTTGTCTTCCCCACACGCTCTGCACCTGCTGCTTCCCGAACACCCAATCTTGTGTAAATGTGACTGCAGGTTAAGATGTCCTGTGAGAATGCCTATAAGTCTGCTTAGTTCTTTCTTGTTTAGCGTAAGTATTTGCTTAGTCTTATCCTCATTTGGGTCTCCCCATAAGATTTTTGTGTTTTTCCAATCCTCTCGTTATTCCAGACATGAAGCGCTAAAAGGTTTTGCACTGTTCACAACTATGTTGATTAGGTCAGTAGCATGTCTGGCGAGTTGGTTGGCTATCTCGTTTCCTATGACTCCTGAGTGATCCGGTACCCATATTATACGTACAAGACCGTGTCGTGAGAAATTGTTTATTGTTTTTATGCATTCCAATACAGTTTTTGATGTAACTGTTTTGGATGTTATTGCATTAATAGCATGTTTACTATCTGTCATGATATTTATGTTATTATGCCCAGAGTTAGAGCTTAACCATCTAAGACACTTCGTTATAGCTTGAACCTCCGCCTGTAGGATCGTATTGTGATCTGGCAGGCGAAGTGAGATTTCAGTCCCCAGTTCTTCAATAAAAAGTCCCAGTCCCGTCTTTCCCGCTAGCCGGGAGCTATCCGTGTAACAACAGTTCCCCGGAGGCATATGTGCTAGTGTTCCGCTGTTCCATAACTCTCTGTCCGGTATCAGGATTTCACACAATTTGATTACTATTGTTTTAGGTATTTGATCTGACTCAAAGTGGCTAATTGAGTATCCGATCGTAGCCTGAAGTATATTTTCGTCCAGTGTGTTGTGTCCGCTGTCGATCCACTCCTTCATGGCTTTAAGTCTTAAAGCTGCGATGGCCGCTTCGTATTTTATTTGAATGTTAACTGGGTGTATGTACAATATAGTTTCCAATTCTCTGGTTGGTGTTGTCCGCATTGCCCCGCATATGCCTAGACAACAAGTTCTTTGGACTTTCTGTAGTGCTATTACATTACATTTTTTGTCAATTGCTGTCCACCAAACTACAGACGCGTAAGTTAGAATTGTCCTAATAACGCTCTTGTAGATCCAGTATACCATCTTTGGGTTGAAACCCAATTTAGAGCCCACGGCTGTTCTACAGAAGGACGAGCATCTATGGGCCTTTTCGACCCGTTGATGTATGTGGTCTTTCCATCTAAGTTTTCTATCTAGGATGACACCTAGATATTTGACTTTATTTGATATGGCTATCACTTTGTGTTGAAAGATTGGTTCTTCGTACTGTCCTATTTTTGCCTTTCTAGTGAAGAGACATATTTCCGTTTTGTCCGGATTTACGTTTAGACCCCTCGGCTTCGCCCAATTAAAAGCAATGTTTAACGCCGTTTCAGCCTTCCTGCATAGTAAGTTAGGGTTCTTTCTCCTTAGAAGTATTATAACGTCGTCTGCATAACAGACTGGTTCAAAACCATCCTCGATTAAGTTCCTTAAGAGACTATTGATAGTGGTGACCCACGAGAGTGTTGACAGTATCCCTGCCTGCTGTGTCCCTTGTCCTACTTTGTCCCTGATAGTTATGTCTTGTAGGCTACAGATTATCCATCTATTCCTTAGCATATGGTTGACCCAGTCTATAATTGCCTGGTCAACACAAAAGGCTTCTAAGGATTGGATAAGTGTTTCGATGCTGACATTATTAAAGGCTCCTTCGATGTCAATGCAGACTGCTAAAGTGTACATTTTCTTATTGAAAGTTCCTTCGATGTGGTGTACTGAGATTACAGAGTGTTATCATATGTTTAGTCTTAATATAAGCATGTCATTGAAAACAATTATTTTTAAAAAATCTAAGCCTTTGATGATGAAAAACATTTATAAAAAAAATTAGGTCTTTGATGGTTCGTGACAAAATATTTATAAAAAACAACTCTTTGATAGACCATTGATGGTCCATCAAAAAAGTAATGCTTATGATTAGAGATGGGCAGTGGGTAAATACCCGGTAAATTGAGTAAATACCCATTTGTGGGTATTTATTTGGTATTTACTATATTGATACTTTAAAGGCGTGGGTAAATACTCGAGTTTTTACCCAAAAATTGGGTATAATCTCATTAAGTGCGGAACCACTTGACATAGGCGGCCAAAATTTTGCATACAAGTTTTTAGTGTCAAAGCAAATAGAGAAATCCAACATGGGGTCCCTGGGTCCAAGTTTTGATATAGCCCCCCATATAACCGTATCTCCCGATTTAAGGCATTTTTTGCCTATTAGACACATTTTACAACCAAATTCGCTGTAATTTGGCACAGAGTGTTCTTGTTGGGTACCAAATATCCATGCATTTTATGTACGTAGGTCCACGTTTACTGGTAGTCCCCATACAAAGGTACCCCTATTTTGAGTATTTACCCGAAAATTGGGTATTAACTCATTAACTGGCGAACCACTTGACATAGTCGGTCAAAATTTGGCTCAGATGGTTTTTATATCAATACAAATACTGGTATGGAAAATGGGGTCCCTGGGTCCATTTTGGATTTCTATATTTGATGTGAGATTAAAAACATGTATGCAAAATTTTGACCGCCTATGTCAAGTGGTTCCGCAGTTAATGAGTTTATACCAAATTTTTGGATAAAAACTCGGGTATTTACCACCGTCTTTAAAGTATCGTAAAACTATCCATTCTAAATCGATTTGATAACAGAAACCCGGAAATAGGGTGTAAGATGTTGTATTACCGATTCAATATAGTAAATACACAAATAAATACCCGCAAATGGGTATTTACCCACCCCATGGGTATTTATCCGGTAAATGCCATCTCTGCCCATGAAAAGTTTTGATTGAAAAACAATATTTTCAATAATAAATATTTCTATATAACATTTTACATAAAAAAAAGGTTTACGCCAGACATAATGGCGATCTGACCAAAAACAATAAAAATATTACCAAGTCTATTGAAATGTCAATTTGGGCAATTTGTAATGCTTGTAAACAAACATATCAAATATGTAAATGCAATTGCAATACGCGCCAGTTTTAATGTCAGGCGATATTTAACTTAATTTTGAAATATGCATAAATGTCATTGTTGTGTTTTTGTGTGTGTGTTTGTATGTTTTAGGCCCATAAAGTATGTGGCCGTAAAAATGTTCCAATTGTCAACACTTATAAATCGTGGATAATTACGGCAAAGGCCGTTCATCTGAAAAGAAAGAAAACAAAGCCAAAAAGCAAATAAAAACCAAAAAACAACAACAATTTATTGTTTATACACAATTTTTTTATTCGTTTTTAATACGAACACTTGCCGAACATGATCGGCATATTAATTAGGATCATTGTAAGTGATTGAGTGTTATTGTACTACTGCTGGTGGAGAAGGTTCTTTTTATATGGTATTTACGTATGAATGTGTGTGCATCGTGTGTTGGTCGATAAAAAGTTTGGGAAACACTATTCACGGTAGCCATTACTACCATTTGAAGTCGAAATTTAAAGGTGCTTGAACAGAAAAAACCTCGTAACTACTATAATAGTGAACGCCAGTCATACCGGAACAAAATGTTTTCTTCACTCTAATATGGCTTTGAAAAATAATAATAAACACGAGACGGTATGTGCTATTGACACAATTTGTATTTAGCTAAATTGTATAATACGTTTATTATTCCGTTCTGGATTAAAAATTTTATACTAAAGAGTATTTCAATTTTTTTGCTATCGGAAATTAAAAATATTTGTGAGTCATTCTTGATATGGGAACAGAAAGTACTGACGCACTTGATATAATTACTTTTTTACTATCATCAATAGGGTCGATTATTCTCGATTGTCGGTATGTTATGCTTGCAATCAGTGTTGCCACTTTGAATTGTATAAAATCTACGCATTTAATAGTCCTGGAGAAATATTACTTATAAATATTGCCTGGAATAGTCCTTAAAAAAATATTTAAAACATATTGAAATAGTATTGTTTAAAAAATGTACGCCTTTCACAGTCCTCCAAAAAATATTTGCCCCTATGCCTTTTATATTCCTTTAAAATACCTACGCCTGAAATATTCCTTGAAAAACAATTCTTAAAAAGCTACGCCTGAAATATTCCTTGAACAAAAAATTACAAAATCTATGCCTCTAATTGTCCTTGAAAAATATTCTTTACATAACATATGCCTCTAATTTTCCTTGAAAAATATTCTTTAAATTATCTACGGCTGGAATATTCCACGCAAAGTATTTTTTAAAAATCTA